GTTCAGAGCTCCACCGGACGCATCAGAGCTCCATCGGACGCATCAGAGCTCGGGCTGGCGGATCAGAGCAGAGGCTGCCGATCCGAGCTCGGGCTATCCGATGCCCGATCAGATCTCGACATGTGGAAGCATCGAAGTTCAGAGCTCCACCGGACGCATCAGAGCTCCAACGAACGCATGAGAACTCGGGCTTGCGGATCAGAGCAGAGGCTTGCCGATCCGAGCTCGGGCTATCCGATGCCCGATCAGATCTCGACATGTCGAAGCATCGAAGTTCAGAGCTCCAACGAACGCATGAGAACTCGGGCTTGCGGATCAGAGCAGAGGCTCGCCGATCCGAGCTCGGGCTATCCGATGCCCGATCAGATCTCGACATGTCGAAGCATCGAAGTTCAGAGCTCCAGCGGACGCATCAGAGCTCCAATGAACGCATGAGAACACGGGCAGGTGGATCAGAGCAGAGGCTTGCCGATCCGAGCTCGGGCTGGCGGATCAGCGCAGAGGCTTGCCGATCCGAGCTCGGGCTATCCGATGCCCGATCAGATCTCGACATGTGGAAGCATCGAAGTTCAGAGCTCCACCGGACGCATCAGAGCTCGGGCTGGCGGATCAGAGCAGAGGCTTGCCGATCCGAGCTCGGGCTATCCGATGCCCGATCAGATCTCGACATGACGAAGCATCGAAGTTCAGAGCTCCACCGAACGCATGAGAACTCGGGCTTGCGGATCAGAGCAGAGGCTTGCCGATCCGAGCTCGGGCTATCCGATTCCCGATCAGATCTCAACATGTCGAAGCATCGAAGTTCAGAGCTCCAGCGGACGCATCAGAGCTCCAATGAACGCATGAGAACACGGGCAGGTGGATCAGAGCAGAGGCTTGCCGATCCGAGCTCGGGCTGGCGGATCAGCGCAGAGGCTTGCCGATCCGAGCTCGGGCTACCCGATGCCCGATCAGATCTCGACATGTGGAAGCATCGAAGTTCAGAGCTCCACCGGACGCATCAGAGCCCGACCGGACGCATGAGAACACGGGCAGGTGGATCAGAGCAGAGGCTTGCCGATCCGAGCTCGGGCTGGCGGATCAGCGCAGAGGCTTGCCGATCCGAGCTCGGGCTATCCGATGCCCGATCAGATCTCGACATGTGGAAGCATCAAAGTTCAGAGCTCCACCGGACGCATCAGAGCTCCATCGGACGCATCAGAGCTCGGGCTGGCGGATCAGAGCAGAGGCTTGCCGATCCGAGCTCGGGCTATCCGATGCCCGATCAGATCTCGACATGACGAAGCATCGAAGTTCAGAGCTCCACCGGACGCATCAGAGCTCGGGCTGGCGGATCAGAGCAGAGGCTCGCCGATCCGAGCTCGGGCTATCCGATGCCCGATCAGATCTCGACATGACGAAGCATCGAAGTTCAGAGCTCCACCGGACGCATCAGAGCTCGGGCTGGCGGATCAGAGCAGAGGCTTGCCGATCCGAGCTCGGGCTATCCGATTCCCGATCAGATCTCAACATGTCGAAGCATCGAAGTTCAGAGCTCCAGCGGACGCATCAGAGCTCCAAGAACGCATGAGAACACCGG